ATGTTTGGTCGACATCGGCGGTGGCGAGGGAGAGGAGGAGGAGGAGGGGGAGGAGGAGGGAGAGGGTCGAAGAGGGAGACATTGTTTTGTTTCGTGTCGTTGTTTTGTGGAGGGGGAGCTGAGAGGGCTCGTATTTAAATAGGGTTGTGGAGGGAAAGGGGGATGGACGTGATGGTGGATTTTGATTTGTGTAATATTTGGCATTTATTGAGGATCAATGAGAATGGATGTATATGGTTAATATGTAAAATAAATCTAGCCTTTGGATATTGGATGCGGTTAATAATAACGGCGTTTTTATGGTGGACGCATAGGTCTATGGTTCTGGGTATGGAATCATAATTTTTCATAATGTGGGGCGTGGCTAAAATTATTGTCTTGGACATGTTACTAAAAAAGTTTAGATCTTTTCGTTTACAATATTGGACAGAAATAAAATTAAAGGTGGCATGTTTATTTGTAACAATTAGACATAGGATATATAAATTAATCAACTCTAATTGGGTGGCAACTGGGTTGGAAGCTGGACGCGAGACAACCGAAATTGACCTCATGATCGGATGAGCTCAACTTATACTCAATCCATATCCATAACCAAGTATACTCATATCCAATCCTATTATTCTCTTATAGTAAATTGATTGATTCCAACTTGAGTACATATTTCTGAGATTTCTAATCTTTTTGATTTTGATCATTGCAGATAATTAAGTGTTTTCTTTATTCAATATAATTTAGGGCCGGTCATTAATTAAAAAATAAAAAAAGAGAGAGAATCTTTATGATTTATGATTTTAAACTAAAATAATAATAAAAATATACACACGCATAACCCCACACACTGCCAATGCCAGCGATCTTAAAATTTAAACCTTAGTCCCTCTTCTTTTTCCCTCTTTACAATGATAGATTTAAAGAGAAACAATAGATATAAATCATCCCAATTTACTAAGTATTCAAAGGCCTCAATAAGATTTATCATATTCCATATATCTCTTCAAATTAAAAGTTCAAAAACACATGAATTTATTCAATAACAAATAGCCAATCACATTAATAGTAAAACAAAGACACTCTCATATTGGGGAAAAGTATCTGGCATGAACCTACTGCAAAGTTGAGCATACACACATACATTTGACAGGAAGTAGTAGAGCATAATGATACTATGGAGTTATATTTAACTACCATGACTGTTTAGATAAAAATGAAGGGTAAATTTTAGAAAAAAAACCCTTAGGTTTGGGTATTTCTCAGATAACTCCCTTAACTTTCAATCGGTCATGAACCCCATCTTTACCCCCACCCCCCTCCTCCACGAAAAAAGAAAAAAAAAACCACCCCACCCTGACACACAAAAAAATGAAAAAGGAAAAAAAAGTTTTGGGGTTCCCAGAAAACCCTTTCAACTTTCAAGATGGGGAAAAAAAGGAAAAAACAAAACAAAAAGTTAACGGCCATTCATCACAATTTTCACGTGAGTTATAAATAAATATGTCAGATTTTTATTTAATTTATTTTTGTGTGAGAGAAATTCAGATTCCCCGTCTTATTTTTACGTATGATGGTTGAAAACTATGAGAAGAAAGAAGAGAAGAAAATGATGGCGATAATGAATAAAGGGGAGAAGAACAGTAATTATCTATGCTGTACTACATATTTTTACTCACTGTTATTTTTGCTTTCTATTTTTACTGTTTTTAGAATGCATGGACTTGTCTCTTGGGCATGGAATAGATTTCACCTTTTCTTTGTTATGCTTGAAAATAGGAGGTCATGAAAAGCCACACTATAGTGTTGGGCCATGAATTAGAGAATAATATTATAACTACACTAAACCAGAGCCCAAAAACAAAGGTTTATCTAAAAGCTAGGAGAATAGAAGTAGAGCAAATTACCATGTATAAATCTGTTTGGAAGATGATCATACATGCTATTATGTTAGCTATGCTTATGCTAATGCTTTTTTTTGAAGCATGCTTTTTTTTTGAAGCGAAAAACAGGATGAGATACCCTATTCACGTACCATTTAAACACAAACACTTAACTTAACCTAGAATTGAATAGTCTGAGAGAAAAAATGATCAAACAATTCATACCCAAGAATAGAGAGAGGACCATAGCCGCCATCTATTACTGAGGTCATAGATATTTCATCAAACATTAAAACTCAAACTAAACCGTTCTAGAAAAAGATAGGCAAAAGAAATTACAATGCTAAGAGCTATTACAAAGCTCATACTTACATCACAACCAAAGTTAAAGTTAAAAAACAGTATGTTAACACAAGATAATTACAGAAGAAAACAATGAAAACTAGTGATATTCTTAGAAGTAATCATCAAACCGAGCCATATCATAAGAGGATGAATATTCTTGCAACATTAGTTGAGCTATCCCCCTTTTCTCCACCAACTCTTGAATAGTGGCAAATCTCTTTGATGTTAGATGACTTGTCCATAATAGTATGAAATGTGTGATATTGGAAGCCAAACAACGAGAAGAGACACCAATATTGTTGAATGTTAGATTGTTCCTTACTCTCCATAAGCACCAACAAATTGATGGAAAAATAACAGACCATAGGATTCTAGCATCTTTTTCCACCAAGAAAGAGCCATATGAGTCTATATATAATTAATGTCACTGAAATCTTACGGTAAGGAAGATATATGAAGAAAAGGCGTGAAGAAGGACTATACTATCTTCACAAATGAGCATCGTAAGAAAAAGTGTATATCATTTTTAGAGGCTTCATTGCATAGTAAACAAGTAATATCACCAGTCTATCCCTTATTTCTTGGTGTCCTCTTTATATTGAGTTTCCTCTTTGAAAGAAGCCATAGAAAAATTTTCACTTTCAAAGGGGTGATTGATTTCCAAATAAAGTATAACCTTTGAAAGAAGTGCCCAAGCCAATTAGGAAGGGATAGATAGTTTTGACTAAAAAGGAGCCTGAAGAATGATATGGCCATAATGCCACATCTTTACCATGTAAGAGCACCCAGAGTGCAAGATTTCATTATGTGTTTAAGATCTCCACAAAAGAAACATCTTTTAGGTTTGGATTGAGAAGAAACACGATGACCTAGTCTAGCTCTTGCCACTCTTATACTATTGACTATTATAGTCCAACCTAGTTCAGGAAGTGGTGGCTTTCCAAAAGGGAGAGGGAGAAGACCTTTTTCCTTGTCGGAGATCGGAGGAGGGTGTTTGAAGAGATCAGTGAAGGATATGAAAGTCTTTTGTGTGGAGGAGACTGTAATAGGTTTTTTAGTGGAAAGTAGGCAAAATGTTTCAGAATGGAGGAGGCGAGGGGATGCAGAGGGTGATGGTTTAGATGTGACAACTCAGTTCCATGTAGCTGAGGATGTGGTTAAAAGGATGAGAAAGGTCAATGGAGATTTCTCTATTAATGATCCTTACTTTCCTTCTTAGGGAGAGGGTCATATCTCCAAATTGCCTCCTGGCTGCCCCATCTTCTTTTGTCGATTTAAGTTTTTTATTTTTATCTTTCATGCTAATGCTATTTTCAAATGCTAAATATTAATCCGTCATAAGCTTAAGCTTATAATTATAGTAAAGTTAGAAGAAATAAGTTTCTCTTTGTCTTTGTAGTTAAATTCTGTAAATTATGTTTTTCATGGTAAGATTAACCACAAAATAATGGCTTTCAACTCCACTTAATACGATTTAAGTTTCCTTCAGTTTGGAGAGGGAAACAAGTGTCCCTGTTATTGTGTCTCACATGATCCCCACTTGATGAGTTG